ACTAGAAATAAAAATGTTCATGTGTACTTGATTCAACTGGAGTTTACCTAGGAGAAACACTACTGCCTTGCGCACGGTACGCTCTTGCATACTGAAGGAGAAAGAGATAGAGGTGAAATCCGTTTGTTGCCTGAGGTCTGCTGTCCAGGATTAGCTGAGCCAGGGTAGATTCCTCAGCCACCTGAGAGCTTCCTCTCCTGGACAGTTCTTGGGTCAGAAGACTCCTGAGTCCTCCAGGACCCAGGTTGTAGATCGCTGTCAAAATATGCCTGAGAGAGTTAAGGAAGGAATGACAAGTTTGCCAGTGACATTTGTGACACGGATGCATCCCTAGCCACCACCTCCTTCATTTTTGCTCATAGTTCAATGATGTCCACCCTGTCATTTGGGAACAGAATATCTTCTTAAGTGGTTCCATTGGAAATCCATGATAATACAGTTTTTCTAAAACCCAAAGCAGTGTTCTCATTTGCTTGTGGTTAATTGTAGAGGCAGGATGAGGTAATAAGGGAACCAGGCGAAGCCCTGAATTTAAGTATAAAGATCTGTAACAGTGGCTCGAAATTGGCTACAGCTCTTTTTGGTGTTAAGTACTATTTTTTGTCCTGACCCAGGGTGTATGTCCTTCTTTGGAGACAATGAGGTGACACAGAGTATCCAGCCCTAGGGTTGAAAGAACGATCGGGGTTCAGAGTCCATTCTTCTCCCCTGGCCAAGGCTTAGTCGACATCTGCCCCTGTAGAGAGAAATCTTGGTGCACTTTGGTGTTTCCTAGAAAGGGCATGCTCCAGCTTCTCATGAGCAATGACTGGAACTTAACCTCCCTATGGGGAAAACACAATTCATTTTTCCATGAGATTATCCTTGGCACTGCTCAGAGGAACTGCAGACACAGTATCTAGTTATTGATTTATTAATGTTTAACTAAGCATCCAGTATGCCTTGGGTTCTTTTATTTTCAGAAGAACCCATTTCTTAAAAGAAATATAGCAGGGAAGAGAACATTTGGTATTTAAAAAAAATTTTTTTTTACATGATAGTACATGTAGCAGAGATAAAGAACACAGACACAGGAGTGAACAGAACTGGTGGGTGATCCTAGCTCTGATGCTTATTAGTTGTGTGTTTTTGGCAAACTACTTAACCTCTCTGAGTATCTGTAACAAAGAATGATATGATTTGATGTGAGGATTAAATGGGCATAATTTTATAATGTGTTGAATACAATGGCCATCATCTAATAAACACCCCCCCACACACAATCCAGTGGCTATTATCTACTTCACAAAATAACACTTTGGCAGGACTGTGGTATGAAGCTGGGTATACAGAGGGGACTGACATAGTCATAGCCACTGCCATCCCTGAGCTCACAGTCTGGGCTAGGGACATACATACAGATTTGGGAGCTGTCAACATTTGCCTGGAAATTTAAGCCACATGGGTAGATGCAGCTACCAGGAGAGAACAGAGCACAAACGTAGAGCCCTGTGACATTAGTGTGTCTCTGAAGGCAGAACCAGGGGGTTCCAGCTCATGGTCATCAGTACACTCCTCAAAAAGCAATACAAGGCAGTGTTTGTGCCTGAGTCTTAGGATGCCTGTATCCCCCACCTTCTCACACAGCACCCAACACCCCTACTTCAGTGAGAATTTGACGTGATCAGCTTCAATAAGACAGTGATTCGTGGGGACACCTGGTTTCCTGTGGTTTCCTGCATGTACATTTCCTGTATGTAAATGTCTTTCAGCTTACACATTCCTGCAGCATTTAACCCCATTTGCCATGGGAAACTACCCCTCAATAAAATAGTCATCCTTTTTCAGAAATGCACCATCTTGCATTTTTCTTGGTGAAATTTGGTGCCCTCTCCGCCTCCTCCCCACCCTTGGGGAGCTCAGTCTGTGGTCTGCTGTGCATACTGAAAGCATCAATGAAGTCATCCCTTCCTTCAGCTGTGAGACAAGGAAAGTCTCTCGTGCCACGTGTTGCAGCGAGAGCCAGCAGGCTTTTTTGCTCGTTACACTTGACAGAGTGTTAGGCTGAGGATTCTCCCCACTCTCATCTTCTTTCGAGCAATCACTCTGCCCAGGAAAATCTGAGCTCAACACGTGGAATCTGAGAGGCTTTAATTAGCAAGGACATCTTGTTAAAATTCAGAAGGACAGGCAACACTGAGAGCTCCTGCAAAGCATCTGGGGTTTCTCATATTCCAGACTTCAAAAACAAACACTGTGAGACTGGGCTTTGGGCAGCCTTGCTGTGGTTTATGGCAAGAGTCCGTGGCTTTTCTGCATTCGTTCGGAACTTCAGAAAACCATCTGCACTCCATTTATGTCTCAGAGAATAGGGAACCTCGGGCTGGGGTGGGGGTTGGATGGCAGGAGAGGGAGAGAAGTCTGCTTTTTAGGCTCTATTGTTGCCCACGAAGGGGATTTTGCACAGCGGAAGCTCATGTTCTGCCATGAACGCAGTAGGTGCTTTAGAGATCAATAAGCGTCGTTATGGGGACACTGAAGCACACAGGGGTTAGTGGCTCTGTACCCAGACGCTGTGCACCTGGGTTTGAATCTGTGGCCTTGAACTCATCGGTTGCACCATCGAGCATGTCACTCCATGCCTCTGAGCCTCAGTTCCCATCTTGGGGATCAAGTGGAGAATACGTGTGTGACTGTTTTATCACTGGGCTGAACGTTTTGAGACAACAATTGTGAAGTATTGTTTTTGTCCTACACCTGCCTTCCAGCTCACTCTGCTGGCTCAGATTCCAGAGCTTTTCTGGTCGCTTTTTCAGTCTTAAAAGAGAACGGCTTTTGTGAAGGCAGGTCCATCTCAGAACCTCACTCTCTCTCATCCAGGCCACGTCTTTTCTTCTCTCCCAGCTCAGGCCTGATGCTGGAACACACAAGCAAGCAGGAGGGAAGGGGCCCATGGTTGGCCTGGAGCTTTCCTTCTTCCATTTCTCCCCAACTTGCACAGCTGCTTCTGGCTTCTCCAGGTGCTGCCTGAGGTGGGTGGGTGAGGGTGGGTTAGAAAAGAAGGGAAAGGGTTCTTTTATTTAGCTGGGGCTGTTGTAGTCTTCTCTAGTTATTGGATGCCCTTCTTTTTTTTTTCCTTTTTGTCTTTTTTCGTGACCAGCAACGGACCGCAACCCTCAGTGTCGCGCCCGTATCAGACCGGGACCGGCAACGGGATCGCAACCCTCGGTGTTGCTCCCACACCTCGCTCAGCCAGTGAGCGGCCAGTCTGTATGTGGGATCCAAACCCTCGGCGGGAGTGCCGCCGTGCTCCCAAGCAGCGCACTGTAGCAGTGCGCCACTGGGCCGGCCCTTGGATGCCCTTCTTATGACAAATGCCGCCAGTGCTGGTGCACCCCCCTCCACTTGGTGGGAACCTTTTATGGGTCCTCCAGAGATTCCCTGAGGTACCTAGGACTTGCCTGATCTGTCTTTCCATCACACCGCAGCTGCCTCTCACCATGTGCAGGGAGAGCCTGGGCTTGAGTAGGTCACAGACACAGGAAACAACTAGGCTTTCTGACTTCTTCAGACTTGGCACAAGTAACTGTGAGCCTGAAGTTGGTTACAGAAACCCATGGTCAAGAGGCAGCTCTGCAGGTCTGTTTCCAGACAACTCCTGCTATGTGAGCCCCACTAGGATGTGCTCTTGTGACTGGGTTACTGTGAGTAAATGTGAGGTGCAGACCTCTTGTGGTTTGCCCTGCCTCAGCTTGTTAGTGATCAAAGAATATGCTATCCCAGATGGCGGCTGGGGCGCTAAGGGAAATGGGCTGGGGAGAGGGGCCATTCTGCCTGCTGACATCGACTAAGGCCCACACCTCCTCCTGGTGGCAGAGGTGGCAAATCTAACCACCTGCTCTGGCCTGGGTCGCCTGGCCTGGCTGACAAACTAGGCCACTCACGCACATATGGATTTGAGAAACAGCGATCGAACCCCTCTGCATGTGTGACTCTGTGCTCCTGACACAGGAGGGCCCCAAGGTGAATCAACCCAGGGTCCTCTTCTTGAGAGGCTTACTGCCTAGTGGGGAGACAAGCTGCATACTCTTGGTTACTCTTGGTAACTATAACAGGAAGTAAACTGTCAAGAGACCAACAGAGAGGTACCAATACATTTCTCTGAACACTTAGCAGGAGGAGAGCTAGTTTCCAGCTGGAGTGAGGTAGAGGGACAGAAGAGAAGACTTCATGGAGAAAGTATTTTTATTAGAAATTCTTATATTTTGCTGGTTCTTAAGCAGGGGTCATGAGCAGGATACCGGCCTTGGTGTCGATGGGCTTGGGTCTGAGTTCAGGTTCTGCCCTTCCTGGCTGTGGTATATAGGATAGATATCTTGCTCAACTTCTCGAGCCTCAGCTTTCTCATCTGTGCAAAGCATGGACTCTGGAGTCAGATTGCCTGGGTTCAAATCCTTCCACTCTTAGCTGTGTGCCTGTGGGTAAGTCATTTAAAGTAGCAGCACCTCAGTCCCTCTATCTGTAAAATGGGAATAATAATAGTATATTTCACAAAGGGTTGTTGTGAGTATTGAAGGAGTTGATAAACGTGAAACACTTAGAATGGTGGCTGTCCCATAGCGAGTATTCTACGTACAGCTGTTGTTGATAATATTAAGGGGAGGATGATCTTAGGGTGGTTACAAAGATTAGGGATCGAGGGATCAAAGGCTGGCACACAGTGTTCTCATCATTAAAGCACAGGTGAATACAGAATTAGAAGTGAAGAGAAGGTAGTATGAACAGTGTAAGCAAAGGCAGGAGGTGGGAATGTGCAACTTGGGAGGAAGAAGCAGAAAATAATTTAGTTCGGGTCCTCAGGAGATAAAAGATGAATTCTTTCTGCTGCTTTCTCAGCTTTTTGTGCATTCTTTAGAATCTGTTAAAAAGGCCAATTTCTGTCAACAAATCTTCATGGCTTTTTTTTGCATTTTTTTCTGGATGCAGGCCTCCTGGAGGGTCAGCTTACTGTCTTTCCAAGGATGGGTCTCCGGGGGATGTTCTGCTTCCCCTTGGGATTCCTGCTTGGTTCTGTGCTCCTGGTGGCTTCAGCCCCCACCATACCCGAACCACATGGCTGCAGCAACAAGGAGCAACAGGTCACTGTCAGCCACACCTATAAGATTGACGTGCCCAAGTCCGCCCTGGTCCAGGTGGAGGCTGACCCTGAGCCCCTCAGTGATGATGGGGCTTCACTCTTGGCCCTGGGGAAGGCCGGGGAGGAACAGAACATCATCTTCAGACACAACATCCGCCTTCAGACGCCGCAGAATGACTGCGAGTTGGCAGGCAGTGTCCAGGACCTCCTGGCCCGGGTGAAGAAGCTAGAGGCAGAGATGGCAGAGATGAAGGAGCAGTGTAGTGTCCAGCGCTGCTGCCAAGGAGCTGTGGGTGAGCTCACCACCTGGTATTCATTCAACAAACATTTAATGAGCACCTACCATGTGCCATGTGTTCCACCAGCTTCGTGAGCACTCTGTGAGCCTCGTGCGTTCGTACCTTTCACCCTGGGTTTTCTCTGGGGAGCCACGTCCCTGCTATTTATTCATTGGTATTAGCTCCAAGGTGGATCTGGAAGCCCGAGCAGGGAGGGAACAGCAGCTCTTCAAGAGAGTCTAGACTAGGGTTAATGCTTCCAGATGGGAATGCTTCCAGGGCTGTCTTACCTATAGATCACATCTCTACTCAAAGGGGAAGCAGTGGGATATGGAGGAAAGATAGAGGCCTTTGGGGCTAGATAAGACTCGGTTCAAATCCCAGTACTGCCACTTTTTAGCTGCATGACTTCAGGCAAATATCTTGTTTCCTCAGCTGTCCAATTAGTATATTTCTGAGAACTAGAGATGTATATAAGATTCCTGGCACACAGTAGATATTCAGCAAATTGTAACTATTTCCTTAGTAATAAAGTACTATAATTTGATTTTGCAAATGAAGGTTCCTCTCTACACTTCCTTTTTTAAAAATATAAACTGCCCAGGCCGATCCAAATGACAGTGAATGGTACTTTGATATAGATTTTTATGCCTAAAGGAATTGCTGTGGTTAAGAGCACGTCCTATGTGCTAGATACAGAACTAGGCACCTGGGACACAGCCATGAAAAAAAATAGCGTGGAATTGCCCCTGAAGAGCCTCCACCTTGGCAGTGTTTTTAGGAAGGAAAGAGAATGTTCTGAGAAACAGGAGCTTGGGCCAGAGAAGGGATTGCAGTGACTGGCCTGCCTTCTAGCTGCCTCTTGCTCTATAGGGTCAGAGATGGGGGAGCCTGGTTAAATCCCTTCTCCCACCCTCATGCTCATAATTGAGACTCAGCTGTTTCTGCAGATCCACTTTCCTGGACTTCAATATGGTTCATTTCCCAAGGACCTGGCCTTGCTCTGTCTAGCTACATCCAGCCAGATAAGACAAACTCCACAAGCCTGGATCTCGCCTGCCTCCCCGACGAGCCCTGCCCTGTCCCTTAGTGTCAGCGGCCAGCTGACATCCAGGAAGGAACACTTAAGGCCCCTTCATAGAAAGGCAGTAAATAATTACCCGCAGGGAGATTTACATGAGGAAGGCAGGGGAAGAAGTGTGGTTCCTGCGGCTTTTCAGGCAGAAAGAGGAGCGCACGTTTGTAGATTTCTGGGGTCAGGGTCTGGCCCAGGCTGGAAGGGGCCAACACTCAGCCCATCCTCCCACCCCCCCCAAAAAAGGGCCATGCAGGACCCAGAAATCACCAGTCCGCTCTTAAGGGTCTCCAAACAAGGAGACCCCACCCACCACCCTCACCCGCCAGCCTACTGTCTTTCCTCTCCCTCCCAGATCTGAGCCGCAACTGCAGCGGCCACGGGACCTTCTCCCCCGAGAGCTGCAGCTGCCGCTGCGAGCAGGGCTGGGAGGGCGCCGACTGCGAGCGGCCCGCCTGCCCCGGGGCGTGCAGCGGCCACGGCGTGTGCGTGCACGGCGCGTGCCAGTGCCACGAGGACTTCACGTCGGACGACTGCAGCGAGCGGCGCTGTCCCGGCGACTGCAGCGGCCGCGGCTTCTGCGACACCGGCGAGTGTTACTGCGAGGACGGCTTCACTGGCCTCGACTGCGCCCAGGGTGAGAGCACGGACGCGCCTTGGGGGGCCCCCGACTCCCCTCTCCCTGCATCCTTTAACCATCGGTTCTACATTGTCCTTTAGCCTGGATCAGGATCCTGCATGGGGGGGGGGGGGCTTGTTAAAACACAGACTTCTGGGTCCCACCCCACGGCGTTTCTGATTCTGAGAATGTACCTTTCTAACAAGTTCCCAGGTGATGCTGATGCTGCTGGTTTGAGGAACACTTGGTCTTATGTTTGACTTGTGTGGGGGATTGGGTGGGGTGGGAGGGAATGTTATTAACTCCCGACCAGTTAACTCCTGGGAGGAGGGAGTGTCAAGAATGGTGCCTAAACCAGGTCTGCATCCTAGCACGGGCATTGCAGTGTCAGGTATATAGTAGGTGCTCAGTGAATACCCATTGGCCCCTCATTCCTCACCCTCTCCACCCGCTTCCTGTTCTGCTGCAGTGGTCACCCCCCAGGGCCTGCAGCTGCTCAAGAGCACAGAGGATTCCCTGCTGGTGAGCTGGGAGCCCAGTGAGGTGGACCACTACCTCCTCAGCTACTACCCCCTGGGGAAGGAGCTCTCTGGGAAGCAGATCCAAGTGCCCAAGGAGCAGCACAGCTACGAGATTCCTGACTTGCTGCCTGGAACCAAGTACATAGTCACCCTGCGCAACGTGAAGAAAGAAGTGTCCAGCAGCCCTCAGCATCTCCTCGCCACCACAGGTGAGGAAGCAGCCAGATGCCCAGATTTCCCACGAAGGGCCCTATTTTAAATGTTTTCTCCCACCGTCCACACGAATACCCTTTTGCTAGTCAGGCCGTTGCCCTGATTTGTGGTCTGAAAAACATAGTTTCTGCAGCCCTAGGTTCTGGAGAAGAGTCCCAGTTCTCTCTCTCCTTTCTGTGCTTCCCAGTTGTTTGGTCCTCCTAGCCAGTGACCGCAGCCTGCTGGATTGGGGCTCATGGGGTCCCCTTTGTCCCTGAGACTAGTAAGTTCTGTTTGCCTCCAGCCCAACATGAGCAGTCAGAGGGTACTCATGCACCCCCAGCCACTCATTGAGCCTCCAAGGCCATCCAGCAAGTTCAAGTGGGTATGGGTGGGGGGCTGCTGAAGCCACCTGTGTTAGATTCATCTGAGTTAGATTCATCTCAGCAGGAAAGACAGGACACAAATAGGGTAATTGAACAAGATGGGTTTATTGATTGTTTTAGCATGGGAGAACTCACACCCTGGGGAACCGTGGGCAAATCTCAGTAGGAGAGTGTTAGAAAGGACTGGTTATGGAATTTGGGCTTATATTAGGTGACTTGGGGGAAGGTTTAAGGAAGCAGGGATTTGCTTTGGGTTGGATGCTGTCAAGAAGTGGGGTGTAATTCTATGGTTGGGTATCTCAGTGAATCTTATCTAGAAAGAGGGCAGACTGGAGGGAAGCTAAAGCTGTGATCAGTAAAGAAGAAGCAGTGGTTTATATTAGTCAGGATAGGGGATGTTGAGTCATTTGTGTGCTTTGGACAATGGTCATGTTTTCATCTGTGTTCAGACCTGATCGTGCAATGGTCTTGTCCTTGCCTTGCTCTCTCATGGTCTCAGAGTGGCCTTGTCTGAGGTTGCTGTTCTGTGGGATGGCTTGTGTTCAGTGGGAGAACAGCGAGCTCTAGCTGTGCAAGCCAGGCCGGCTCCCGGCTGCCAGGGGCTGCTTTTCTCTCTCCCCTTTTTGTCTGTGGCTGCCTCTCCTCTCAGTTGGGACAGTGTCCAAAGCCTCCCAGAGAAGAAGAGACATCTGTTCTGAAAGTCTTAGCAAACCCTCTTGGCATCTTGCTCTAGGGACTTGTAAAATCCTGGCAGTGAGAAGTTTGTCCTTCTGGCTAATCCGATTCAAGTTAAGCCCATTCTTACTTGCTCCTCAGGGGAGCCGCAGACCGAGAGACACTATTGCCATCATAACCTTGAATGTTTTCATTAAGTCCTTGCTTTTCCACCTGTGAATCCCTCCCAACTCTCTTATGCCATGGACCTCTTCTATAATACTTGAGTCACTTTCATTACTTGCCTCTTGACCTGTCGCTGAGGGAATCCCATCTTTGAAGGAAGTCCAAAAAACAGAACCTGGAGGCTGGTGGGGGAAGCCAGCGGGTGAGAGGAAATGCTTCAGAGAAAAGGCTCAGTGAGGCTCTTTATATCCATAACAGTGAACCAGGGATGTTCAGAGCCAAGGTAACTGGAGAACGCTGAGCGCACACCCTTTCTGATGCACAAATTCCTTGTGCCACGTCCAGGCAAGTGGTCGGTCAGCCTGGTGGAAACACCTCCAGGGACGTGAAGGTGGGGGTATGCCCGAGGAAGGGGGCCAAGGCTGGGAATCTGGGGCACTCGGCTTCCCTGTTTCGAGCTGCAAGGCCTGGTTCCATCAGCCTGTGGTACAGCTGTTGGAATTCACGGTGCTCCTAAAAGACCCTCATCTCCCCCACCCCCTGAAAAAGTTCTTCCCTGAGAGCCACGTCAGTGGCTCCCACATCCCTTTATGTTAGTCATTATAAATTCATGGCTTTTTTTCCTGAGTAGAAGGGTAAGCCATTAATGCTTTACTATGAGCAACTGTACAGTCCCTCTCCTCCTTCATAGGACAGATAGACTGGACAGCACCAGAACACCAGGTACCTGGTCGAAGTGCTAAGATTTGGTGGAAGGTGCAGGAAGGATACTCAGAAGGACCAAATTAAAATTCATCTACTTTATAGTTTGGCCCAGGGTTAATCCTTAGAGGATAATTTGAGGGGCCAGGGCTCTAATTTGGGAGATGGAGGAAGGAGCTGGTTGTATTATCAACATTTTCCTCCAGAAAATTTGAAATGCATTTCCCCAGCTTTGCATGGAAGGGCTCACGCTTCTCATCCTGAGGTTGGCTCTGAGGGCAGGGACTCTGTGGCTAAAGTGGGAGCACTGAGTTCAGCACAGTCTGATCCATGTGCTGAGTGGTTTGGCTGGCTGGCCTGGGAGGTGCAGGGGCTTGACCAAAGTCAGTGTGGACAGGGAGGGCTGTGCAGCATCTGATGGGATGGGGTACTGGAGGCTTTCCTGGAGATGGTCCATCCTCCATGGAAAATTTGAAAACCAACAGCTTCGTTGCTACTTCAGTAGCCTGAGACACCTGCTAAGAACTCTGTGCTGGGGCTGGGCCCTCAGTGTGTCAGAAAGGGAGTTGGCTTGGAAGCCTGCACTTTGCAGATCTTTGGGGCCTCTGCTCTTCACTGGTCTCTCTTGCCTTCCCTGCCCTCACCCTAGATCTTGCCCTGCTTGGCACTGCTTGGGTGACAGATGAGACTGAGAACTCCCTTGATGTGGAATGGGAGAACCCCCCGACCGAGGTGGACTACTACAAGCTGCGGTACAGCCCCCTGACAGGGCAGGAGGTAGCTGAGGTCACTGTGCCCAAGAGCAGTGACCCCAAGAGCCGATATGACATCACTGGTAAGAGCCAACACTGGGGATGAGATTTTTGCTGTGGGTGTTGAATGGGGACAGTGTGTGCAGAGGCCACCAGCATCTGCACTGCTCCAGTGTGCACAGAGGGTCCTGGGGCCTTAGGAACCACACTTGACCCCCAAAACTCCCAGACATGAGCCCACTCTGGAGGCCTGCAGACTCTGCTGCAGAATCCCAGAGAACCTTGCTCACAAGTTACACTTCTGAAACGTCCTCCCAAGTCAGCTGAGCCTCTTGAAGATCTTGTGTATGTCTCAGGATGGATTTGATGGTGTACAGACATTCCCAGAGAGAGAGAGGGAGGAAGAGGAATATTGAGTCTGGTTTACAATGCACTGAAAGAGCTATGTCAGGAGGCCTGGGTGGGGGCTTCCCTGTCTCAGATGACTGAGTTAGTGCTGCTGAGACCTAGAGCTCAGATGGCTGCTAAGGAAACGGGGGTGCGGGGATGGATGGAGTTTTGCAACTCTTGAAATTTATACAATTTTCAGGGCCCTCTTTAAGAAAAGTAATACACAGTCACAAATACCTGATTAGGCAGTGGGCATTGGAAGTGGCTCTGGAAAGTGAGGGGCCCTAAGGCTTATTAACTTTGCAGAACATCCTCCTCTGGGGCCTTGTTCCACCGCCTGCTGCCTGAGTTCTGTCTTGAGAGAGAACGCCTTGGGGTTCCCAGTGTTTGTGGAGTGGAGAACGCGAGCGTGTGCCTTGTATGTGCTGCTGTTTGCCTGCCTTTTGCTACTGGAGTTCACATATTTGTGCCTTGAAGAACAATCATTCGAATTGCTTCTCTACAGAGACTTAAATTTAAAATACAAGGAAAAAATCCAGGCCAATTATTACAATGAGAAGGAAAGCAACTTTTGAGGGCAAAGGATTGCTGGGAGCAGGAAAACAATTAGGGCTGTAAGTCCAATTGGGAAATAAGTGCTAGATGTCCCAACGAAGACCGGAAGCTCCAGCGACTTCATCTCATCTGTTCTGACCCCCCTTTCGCCTCCCAACCCATAAGTCTCCTCAGTGACACCGCATATTCCGCTGGTCCTGTGGAGCTTTGTCTGTCTGTAGACAGGGGTCAGTGTTTGGAGGAGGAAGCGGAGCCTTTCATCTCCACCTCACAAGAGAAATCCTGGGGAGAGCAGTGCTGGGGAGTGGGGTCCGGGCCCGTACTCACCTCCAGCTCCGGATGCTTGTTTCAGGCCTGCAGCCCGGGACAGAGTACAAGATCACAGTGGTCCCCATGAGAGGAGAGCTGGAGGGCAAGCCGATGCTCCTGAATGGCAGGACGGGTAAGAGCCACTCACAGGCGCTGTGAACGTTTAATCATGTTCGTGTTCCGATGCTTTTCTTGGCTGACTTCTTCCTGTTTAAAAATTCTGGGATTTGTGTGTAGAGAGATTCTATCCCTTTATGTACTGACATCTAAGGTAAGAGCCACTCGCGGGCGCTGTGAACGTTTAATCATGTTCGTGTTCCGATGCTTTTCTTGGCTGACTTCTTTCTGTTTAAAAATTCTGGGATTTGTGTGTAGAGAGATTCTATCCCTTTATGTACTGACATCTATTTGGGGAGGCAGGAGAGGGGAAACAGACTTCTCTTATTTCAAATTTTTCTTGCCATTGAAAATCTCCTTCAGGATCTTAGAATCAAGAGCAAAGACCATTTCTGACACTTTTTTGCTTATTTTAATAGCTTCAATCACTGAGTTATTTTTAAGGCATTTATTATCTTGGACCTATGCACACAGCTCCATATTAACTAAAGATAGGTGATCCATACTTTTTTGTTGCTGCTCCTGTGTTTTATTGACACCCACACTCATGCAGTCTGCTTTAAAATGTCAAAAGATATTAAGAACCCTTACATGGCAGTAGTCATATATTTAGTATCTGTGTATACAGAAAATATGTAATGATAAAATGTTAAAAATTGGCAACCTTAATTTATTAATCAGAACAGAATTTGGAAACATTGTAGGCATATATATAAGATATCCTATGAAACTTTTAGTTTTTAAGCAACGCTTGAGCCCATATTTAACTGTGAGCCTCCTGTAATAACTCGGTGCTCCTGCCTATGCCAAGTTGGCAACTGGTGACTTTAGAACATAAGGCCACTGGTGGAGGCTAATCCATGGACCCAGCAAAGCAAGGATCCTTGAATTTTAAGTCTTCCTTGCAAAGTTTTTTAGTTCTTTCCAGTACAGTCTTGGAAATAGCTGGTTGGGGTGGTGAGAATAAGGGCAAGATGGTGCAAGAATTGAATTTGCGATTTCAGAGGTTTAACAAATTGCATATCTGGAGTATGAAAGAATTATAGTTGGGCAATGGTAAAGGATAAAATATAATCTGATTTACAAACTACACAGTCTAGAATGTGCAGCCTGCCTGAATAGTGGACTAGTGAAATGTTTTAGTGAGTTGGAAAATGGTAAGTACTTCCTTGCTTATGGTGGCTTTCTCTGTAGCTGCGAATTAATTGAGAGCTTACTATGTACCAAACGTTATACTCACTAAGCACTTTTCATGAATTATCTCATTTAGTTCTCACAGCAATCCTATGAAGTAGGTACTGTTATTATTTCTATGTCATGTATAAGAAAACTGTGGCTTAGAGAAGTTAAGCTCAGGATTGCCCAGCCAGGAAATGACAGAGCTGGGATTTGAACCCAGGACTTTGGGGTTAGCTAGAAAGCTAAAGTGCTTCCCACTTGTACCCTCCTGTAAGAGATAAACAAACACTTATTCTTCTCTTACACAGTCAGTACAACACAGAGCTCTTTATCTCTGGTCACCAAAACGTGTGTGGGGACTTTCCCCCCACACCAACCAATTCTCTATCAGACATAATTCAATTCAATTCTGATACCTGGAGAGTTTCAATTCCCACAGATTTAAGGGCTCAGTCCCCCATGACTGCCCTCACTTCAGATGCCAGTCACAAGTCCCAGGTTGTGATTGTATTTCTGACAAATCAGCTATAAATCGGGGGTTCCTAAAACCAATAATTTGCTAGAGCGTCTCACAGAACTCAGGGAAACGCCTTATTTACATTCACCCATTTATTGCAAAGGATACAGATGAACAGCCGGATGGAAGAGATGTACAGGGCGAGGTATGGGGGAAGGGGTGCGGAGCTTCCGTGCCCTCTCCCAGTGCACCCCTTTCCAGGCACCTTCTCATGGTCAGCATCCAGGAAGCTCTCCAAACCCCGTCCTCTTGGGTTTTCCTGGCGGCCTCATGATTGATTAAATCTTTGGCCATTAGTGATTAAGTCAATCTTTAGCACCTCTCTTTGGTCAGGGAGATAAGAGGAGTTAGGGCTGCAAGTTCCAACCCTTCAATCATGGTTAGTTTCCCTGTCCACCCCCTCCCCCACCCTGAGGCTCTCCAGGAGCCACCAGCTGTCAGTCATCTCATTAGCATACCAAAAGACACTTATCACTTTGGAGATTCTGAGGGTTTTAGGAGTGTGCCAAGAATTGGTGATTAAGACCAAATATACATTTCTTAATGTAAATCACAGTATCATACCTCCCATCCTTCTTGTACATCATTTCTGGTTAATTTTCACACCATTTACTGGCTAGGTAAAAAATTCCTGTGACTCCTCACTTCCTTAGGATAAGGTATAGCGCTTGTGTCTTGGCCTCAGTGGGCCTGTCCAACCGGGGCCATCTTTATTCTTACTGTTTCCCAACAGGAAACCTTCCTGTAGCCTGACTCTTCCTGGGGTTTCCTAACACAAAAGGCTTATCTCTACAGTGTGGGTTTGTTTATGCTGTTACCCCAGCCTAGAAAACCCTCTGCTATTATCTCTAGCTATCAATTAATTGATAACATTCATTAACAAACATTGATTGCAGGGTACAGTTGAGGAAAAGAGACATGGTCTCTGTAGAAACTTCCTGCCCTTCCAGGGTTCACAGCAGAAATGTCAGTCATACTTCCAGGCTGGGCTCAAACCTTAGCTTCTCCACTGAAGCCTTCTATGACCACAGTAAATGTTGGCCATCTTCGCCTCTGAGTTCCCAGAGCGTTTAATCACAAATGACCTTCAATTGCTAGTTAACCTTTGAAGTACTTCCAGGCTGGGCTCAAACCTTAGCTTCTCCACTGAAGCCTTCTATGACCACATTAAATGTTGGCCATCTTCACCTCTGAGTTCCCAGAGCGTTTAATCACAAATGACCTTCAATTGCTAGTTAACCTTTGAAGTATATTATCCTAAATAGAGTGGTAGCACTCAAGAAGTGTTTTTATTGTCAATTATATCCTAAAAGCAGGATGGAATATTTTACTGGGTTCCAAATAAATTTGTGTCATGTGCTTTACCATAAAAAAAGAAAAAGACACTGTAATTTCTAAGGTAAGGAAACACTCTCAAACCTGGCTAGACTGTTAATTAATTTAAGGGGGAAAAAAGAATCTCTGTTTTCTCCAAATGTTTTAGATCCTAGGAGATGGAAAAAGACACTGAGAACTTAAGAACAGCATAAGCATGCACAGGGAGGACATGACACAGTTCAAGTGTTTGCCATTTAACAAGTCACACAGTGGAACTAATACCATGAAAGGGAAAGGTTGACTGGAAATCTTCACCCTGTTAACACACTCAAAGTGCACTGGAACACCTTCCAGAAAGGCAAGGCTTCAGAAACAGTCCGGCTTCAAGCTCAATGAGCAAAAGCCAGGCCAGTGTCTTTGGGGGAAACGTCCCTGGACTTCTCCATCAGACCCTCACGCCGTACTCCACATCAAATGATGAGAAAGAGGCCACTATCTGAGAGGTGACGCTATTCTTCTGTCCTCGCTGTCTCCATGTGTGAAATAAAGGGTTGGACTAAATGAATTTAAGTCCTTCTCTCTCTTTTTTTTATGATTATATTATTCTTTTAATAACTTCTGTGATTCATGCCTTTCCGTGGTGGGTTAAGGCAAAGCATGCTTGCTTTGTTGTAATTCACAAGCTGCCGTGCACAACAGAGCATATGGCCCAGCATATCCACTTGTCAGCAGTTTTCTCAGAACTTTCCCCTTTAAACTTTGCTATGAGATAGCAGTTTTGCTTCTCTTATGATCTGTTTCACTTTTTACTGATTTTCTTTACTGATTTTCAAACACAGTGTTCCATTTGAAATGGCCTAGCCCTAAAATTTTCCTTCCCAAACTCCTTCATGTTGCAAAATGAGCTGTCAACATTTAGATCTCCTGTCTCATGCACAGCCACCCAACACCCACACCCAGTGGCTGAAGAATAATAATGCTCTCTATCGTTTGAGAGACCACTGTATTCTAGTGGGCTTCTGTATACTGTGAAGCCCATAAATATTACCTCTGGCCCTTGTAATAGTATGGCAAACATTATTATTCCCATTTTACAGATGAGAAAATTGAAGCCTACAAAGTTTAGGAGACTCAGGAACTAGTGAATATCTGAGCCATCATTTAAACTTAGGTTTGCTTGAGACCAAAGTCNTCCGTGGTGGGTTAAGGCAAAGCATGCTTGCTTTGTTGTAATTCACAAGCTGCCGTGCACAGCAGAGCATATGGCCCAGCATATCCACTTGTCAGCAGTTTTCTCAGAACTTTCCCCTTTAAACTTTGTTATGAGATAGCAGTTTTGCTTCTCTTATGATCTGTTTCACTTTTTACTGATTTTCTTTACTGATTTTCAAACAGTGTTCCATTTGAAATGGCCTAGCCCTAAAATTTTCCTTCCCAAACTCCTTCATGTTGCAAAATGAGCTGTCAGCATTTAGATCTCCTGTCTCATGCACAGCCACCCAACACCCACACCCAGTGGCTGAAGAATAATAATGCTCTCTATCGTTTGAGAGACCACTGTATTCTAGTGGGCTTCTGTATACTGTGAAGCCCATAAATATTACCTCTGGCCCTTGTAATAGTATGGCAAGCATTATTATTCCCATTTTACAGATGAGAAAATTGAAGCCTACAAAGTTTAGGAGACTCAGGAACTAGTGAATATCTGAGCCATCATTTAAACTTAGGTTTGCTTGAGACCAAAGTCGATAACCTTTCCAGAAGCAAAGTTAGAGGACAGCAGGAAGAGGATTTCTGAGCACATTCTTTACAAATGGTGCCTTTTGGATACTTCCATTGCCACCCTGGGAAGGCAGTAGAGGAAGCCTGTGAAAGCAAGACCATGAAATGCATAGGTACTGTAGTCTAAAGGTATCTCTTCCATGAACTCATCTTCAAATTGGTCACATAGGCCCTGTCCTGTATCTCTGTCCCCAAGCTCACATCTCCATAGATTTTACATCCTGGCTGTGCTGTTCTCCACTGCACCAACTGGGTGATTCACAGGTGTCCACTGTGAATGGAGAAACCTGTTCCTAATGTCTGTGGCCATCTGTTGGAGCATGGACATGTGCTGTTGGGTGTTACAGCACAGACTGAAAATAGCCATTCCTTGCCTAACCCCGCAGTGAATCTTGTTATAAAGTGGAATAAACTTTCCAGAGCTCCTAATTAACCTCTTCTGTATATTTGGGTTTTGCAAATTAGATCTCTTTGAAGTGGGGCTCACTTTTTTTCTAACTAATGCATGCACTCAAAGGTAAGTCCCACCTATCAAGCCTTACAAATCTTGCCCTAAATCTCTCTGACCTTGAATGGTCCTGAGAAAGGTCCCACCGGGGCTGCTAGTGTCCAGCAGGTGGGCGGTTGCAGCCTCAGGATGAAGTTGGGGCTGGGCAGGGGAACCTGTCTTGTTGAGGATCCAGCTGTGACTCGTCTATGATTTGGCCAGCTACTGCAGCTACTGAAAGGCTATGTTCCATGGAAAAACTGCTTAATGATCCCTTCTTGGCAGAGTGGGAAGTTTGGTCCTGCAAAGCTGGCCTCTTCCAGCAATGTGGCTTACGGTGAGGGTTCCATCTGTGAGGCCTTCCTCTCATTCCTGTATCTTGGCATCTGATTCTCATCCTGAGAATGGTCAAGGAGAACAACTCTGTGCAGAACCCCCTTCTAGTTTAAGTTGTTGTTGGGGAATTGAAAGAATGCAGGGAAGAAAGGGGCAGAGAGCCCTGAGTTCTAGGCTGGCCCTGCCTCTAACTAGCTCTGTGAGCCTGGGGAAGTTCCATCTCCTCTCTGTGCTTAAACTTCCAGGTTTCCTATAACCCAGCATGGTATGCTTGTGTTTTTCTTTCCTAGTCTTCATAGCCATGATACCTTTTCTTGGTTCTTCTCCATCCCCTGAGTGCTCTGGGACTGCTGGGGGACAAAGGAGCTCCAGGGCTGTCTGCTGTTTTCTCCACGCACATGTGTGGATGTGATGGTCTTTCAGCACACACAGGCAGCACCGACACTACAGAGCCCTGGGCCTGTACGGTGGGTCCTGGGAGCTACGACGGCAAGCACTGATCTGGGCCAGGGAGAGTGGTGGAGGGCACTGTTGGGACCCGGGGTTGAACAGCTGTGGGTCGCTTTGGAGAGGGTGAGGGCCAGGGACCTCAAGAGCAGGACTGTTAGGGTACTCTCGCTCTCTTCTCCCCCATCCTTGCTTTTTCATCCTTAGCTCATTACTAATTTCCCAGGCTGAGATGGTGCCTGTGGAGGGCTCTTGTCCTTCCTTCTCTGTCACCTGCAGAATCATGTCTTGCATGGAAAGGGCAACAGGGTGGGGAGGGAGTCCTTTCTGTTGTCATGTGTGCTTTCTCCTGGGCATCGTCTTAGAGCCTGCTCGAGCCTCCAGAGGCCCTGGATGTGGCCCAGTGGGTGTTTGCATCCTGACGGCTCAGCCATGTCCTTCCATGAGGCCCACTCTGCCGGTGAGCTGTGCCTAATGCTGGTCTCCCAGAACCATCGTTCCAGATCGTTTTTTCTTTCTCATTGTCCCTCCAAGGTTCAATCTACTACTGCTGCTGGATTTTAGATTACAGCAACTTTTCAGATCACACTTTATTTTATTTACAATTTATTATTATTATAAGTTCCTTAGTAGTAAACTGATGATAGTGCTGCTTAGGATATAGAGGTCTAAAGTGGAAATGTGCAGTCCGATAGACAAGAATGTGTTTAAATCTTGTCTCTACCACTTAATATGTCCAAAAGCAAACTCTTGGTCCAATCCCCCTCCCTGCCCCCTGCTGCAAACCCTCCCCTCCCTCAGATCTCCCTATCTCTGTAAACGGTCACACCATTCTGCAAATTGCTTAGGTCCCAAACCAAAAAATCGTTCCATTGCATCCCATGTCTAGGCCATCAGTAGGTTCTGGTAGCTTTACTTTTGAAAACTCCCAAATCCAGCCTTTCCCATGACCTTAACACCCCTGCCGTCATGCACACAACTGTTGTAGCAGCCTCCTAGGTGACCTCCACTCTTGGAGTGCTACTGTCTGTATTCCACCCAGCAGCCAGAGGGATCCTCTTATGACACAAGTCAGTTTGTGTCATTCTTCTTTGCAGAACCCTCAGAGACTAATCTCATTCAGTGTAAAAGCTGAAGTCATTGCCATGGCCTTCGAGGCAGTCCACAGTCCAGGGATCCTCTTATGACACAAGTCAGTTTGTGTCATTCTTCTTTGCAGAACCCTCAGAGACTTATCTCATTCAGTGTAAAAGCTGAAGTCATTGCCATGGCCTTCGAGGCAGTCCACAGTCCGCTCTCCCCTTCACCTCAGTGGCCTTACCTCCAGCCACTCGACTTCCTCTGCCAGGTGCACTGGCTTCTTGCTGTTCCCTGAATACACGAGGCAGGAGCTTTGAACTTGCTGCTGCATCTGCCTGGAATGAGGTTCTCCCGGACTGCACGTGGCTGCTGCCTCATTTCATTTAGGTCTCTGTTCAAATGTTACTTTCTCAGTGAGAGAGATCTTTCCTGACTTCCCTGTCTAACACCACGGATATCCTGTTCATTGTTTTCTGATTCCTTTATCTTGCCTTATTTGCCTTCATGATACCCTCACTGTTTGTTTATTGTCCTTCTCCTCCCAAGAGAATGCAAGCTCCATAAGAGAGAGTCTTTATTTTGTTCACTGCTTGTATTAGTTCCTGCAGGCTGCTGTAACAAGGTACCAAAAAGTGGGGTGGCTTAAAACATCAGAAATTTATTGCCTTACAGTTGTGGAGGTTAGAAGTCTGAAATTGAGATGTTGGCAGGGCCATGCTCCCTCCGATAGCTCCAGGGGGGAACCCATCCTTGCCCTTGGTGTTTGGTGGCAGAGCTTGGTGTTCCATGACTTGTAGATGCATTACTCAGGTCACAGGGCCGTCATCTCCTCGTGTGTCTTCATATCACCTTCTTGCTGTGCATGTCTGCCTGTGTCCAGGTTTCCCCCTTTTACAAGGATGTTAGTCATATTGGATTAGGTTCACCCTAATGATCTCGTTTTAACATGATTATCTTTGGAAAGATCCTATTTCTAAATAAGGTCATATTATGAGGTATTGGGGGTGAGCACTTCAGTATGGTTTTTTTTTTGGTGGTGGGGGGGGATGCAATTCAACCCATAACACTGCTGAATCCCCAGCCCCAAGTAGGCACTCAGTGAATGTTTGTGGAATGAGTGAGTGACTCCCATGTACTAGCTGAGTGATGTTGGGCAAGTTCTTCAACTTCTCTGAGTTGGGCATATAGTTAGTGCTGTAAAAATGGTAGCCATTATGAATTTTCCAAACTAGTACATGGTCTAGAAACTAAAATTTGGAAGGAACGGATAGGAGAAGTGAAGTTGTTTCTATTTGAGGAGAATTAGGAAGGGGAATGATAACTATCTTGAATACTTGCTGTGTGGTCTCCTGGAAGAAGAGTTAGATGTATTCTGTATGTCTACCTAGGGTAGACACATGGAAGGAGTTACATCTCGAGTGGCCGCACTTGAAAGAATTTTCTCTAATGTGTTTAGTGGTCTGAAAATGGAAAGGATCATTTTGTCTGTCAAGGAGCACTTTTTCTGTTTAGGTTCAAGCAGAGGTCAGTTGTCCACCTGTCACAGATGATGGAGAGACCCTCTTGCATTGTGTAGACTATTGAACTAGGTCATCCAGAATAATTAGATCGTTAAGCATCTGTGATCTTGATCTCCAAATGGTTTCTCTGATTTTCCTTTCTCGTGTATTTTATGAAGAAATTGATGGTCCAACTAATGTGGTCACTGATCGAGTGACAGAGGACACGGCGACTGTCTCCTGGGACCCGGTGCAGGCTGTCATAGACAAGTACGTGGTGCGTTACACTTCTGCTGATGGGGATACCAAAGAGATGGCAGTACCCAAGGACCACAGCAGCACCGTCCTGACGGGCCTGATGCCAGGGGAGGCGTACAGAGTCCACGTGTGGGCTGAGAGGGGCAGCCAGGGGAGCAGGAAGGCTGACACCACGGCCCTTACAGGTAACGAAAGAACAAGAGCCCAAACAGGTTTCCTCATGGCAAGGGCAGGTTGATTTTGAATCAGGAGGTCATTGCCACCTGGCCTCGGTTCTTTTGTTTGCAAGCATGGAGGAGAGAGTTGCAAAAACAATTTTGGATTTCTTCATTATGATTTTTTTCCCTTTTTAATCTCAAAAAAGAGAGACCAGCCTTTTAATTTGATACAGAAGGTCACACTTACTTGGGTGGGAATTACATATGCAACTCCCTCCGGTAGAGTAACACTTTTTAATTTTCATTTTCAGATGTGAAAACTCAAAACACTGGGCTGACAGTGAATTTGAATGCTTATCTCAGTTTGCAGTGGCTGCACAGGCACTTTGCATGTAATCTGGAGCTCTCTTTCAGACCGTGGAAATGGTTTGCATCCTGAGTCAACATTCACCAAATGTACCGATTCTGCCTTTAAAAGCTTTTAGAAACCATAAGGGTCACTGTAATTCACCCAGTCATTCTGCTCAGCTCAGGCCTACAGGGGTCCTGAGACTCTACTGGGACATAACCTGGCCATTCTTTCTGCTTAAACGCTCCTCTAGTGTGTCCCTGAAATCACAGCAGCCTGATCCTGGATCCCACTTGTGATTCCAACACACTTGACAGGAAGTCAGAGGAAAAGGATTCGCTCATTGTTTGGGCTCTGTTCTGTTCAGTCAGTGAATAGAAAGACTCTCAGAGAAGCAGATAAGTAGTTAGGAATATGGTTTCAGAAGCTTGACTGTCTAGGATTTAATCCCAGCTCTGCCGTTTACTTTGCTGAGTGGCTTGGGCAAGCTACTTTACCTCCACTCCTCAGTTTCTTATCTGTAAAATGGGGCATAGCAGTGTCTATACCCTAGGATTACTGGGAAGGTTATGTGAGTTAATTTGTATAAAGTGCCTGACACATAGTGAGTGCTACGTAAGTGATAGCAATGATTATTTCTGAAAATGTTAGTCAGCATTTGGCCCTCAAAGTGTTTCATGATGCGCAGCCTCCTAGATCGAGGTGGGCCTCAGAGAGCTGACCTCTGCTCCGGGGAGGAGAGAAGAAGTTGACAGTCAGGATGGGGAGATCTAAATTTGCTTAAAAGGTCAGCAAACTTTCTGTAAAGGGCCAGATAGTAAATATTTTTGGCTTTGGGGGCCAAACAGTCTCTTGCAACTACTCAACTCTGCCACTGAAGCATGAAAAGAGCTACAGGCAGTAATATGTAAATGGACTGGCATGACTGCATTCCAATAAAACTTTATTTATAAAAATTGGCAGTGGGTCAGATTTGGCCTGTGGGTTGTAGATTGCCACCTCCTGGTTTACATTACACACAACTTTTTGTTTACTAGGATTTTGAGTGTTGTGAAAAGAAAGAGCGTGTGTCTTTTTAAGATGATGGAAGCTGGAATAGAGAAGAACCTTCCTCTCTCTCAGGGGGGTGGTGTGAGTAAGCCCTTCAGCAATTTTCTGCTTCTCTGAAAGCCACGGAGTGTGGCATTGTTGCTTGCAAGGGTGGGGGTGGGGGTGGTCAGGCATGGAGCTGGGCTCCAGGGGTGCAAAGTTAAAGGACACGATTCATGTCTGTGTGGCGTTCACAATCTCCTGGGTAGAGAGGACAATTAAAAAAGACGAAGTACAGCAAGTCCTGTTCTAGAGCAAACAAATGTCCCTGGAGCTGTGGGAATCTGAAAAAGGGTACCTACCACAGACTGGAATGGGAGAGGGGTCATGGCAGGCTGTCGGAGGAGGTGACACCTGCCCAGAGCCTGGAGGACGGGTGGGAGGTAGCAGCAGAAGCAGCGTCTGCAGAGGCCTAAGTTGTGAACATATGACAGGTTAGGTAATCCCGGGTGGTTTTTATGGTGGGCAGGTCTGTGAGAGAGGTGCAGTAGTGAAGGAAAAGGCCAGCTCAGGGTCCCAGAAGCTACTTGTCTATTCTTACCTGCCAGATGTCCGTGGTACTCCTTCAGGCAAGCCGTCTCACGTGGTGGTGTGTCCTGCCGAGCTGGACTGCCTTGCGTGGTGGGTGGTGTGTGCAGGTTTGAAATGCCATCACTGAAAGCTCAGCCTTTTGAGGAGATGGGTTTTCAAACAGGATAAAAAAAGGGACGTTAATCATATACCCAATTACTTGGATTTTTGTTTCACATTCTGAGGAGAAAGTGGTATTTCTTTTTTTTTTTTTGTCCTTTTTGAGACCGGCCGCACCGTGCTCAGCCAGTGAGCACGTGAGCGCACCGGTCATCCCTATATAGGATCCGAACCCGTGGCGGGAGCGCTGCGGGAGCGCTGCTGCACTCCCAGCGGTGCACTCTCCCGAGTGCGCCACGGGCTCGGCCCGAAAGTGGTATTTCAAACCTCAAATGCCATTAGTAATAACAACTCATATTTAAGCATTTACTATGCAATATCTCACTTACTCTTCACCATACATAGGAGGTAGGTACTGGTATTTCCCTCTTTGTAGAGGTGATGAGGTGGAGACTTAAATTACACAGCTTGTCCAAAGTTAGCCACCAGGAAGTGGTGGAGGCCAGCTTCTAACCCAGTTTCATCACGTAAAACCCAGACAGATTCTACAGGTAGTGTTATTTTTATTAGCTCAGACCTCACATACCATCAATTTAAAAGTTCCCTGACCATAGACATAATATTTTATACAGGAAGAACTGACAGCTCCTACTTTCAGGATACTTTTTCTTCCCAAAGAATATATTAGAACAGATGAAGAGATTTATTAACTATAATTGCTTTCCGGTACAAGGAGTCAGGGACTGAAAGAGTGTATTATATAAATCCAGGGTAAAGGAAAAATTTGTGTTAGAAAACTGATTGTTTTTATCCCAACGCACCTTGTGGGGAGAGTTGATAGAGCTGACCTATATGTTGGTTTTGTCTGAGAACTCTGCTTCTCATTAAATGTATTTAGCTTATTTGTGGAATTTCCAACCACTTGCTAAATTAAACCCTTGAGTTATCTCAATCATTGGCGTATGATAGACTCTGAAATTTTTGAGATTTTGGCTGTGTATGTGCTGGTCCTTCAGGAACTGGTAAAGGCTACGTTCTTCTTTCATCTCTCTCTTAAAGAAATCGACAGCCCTACAAACCTGGTGACTGACCGGGTGACAGAGAATACGGCCACCGTCTCCTGGGACCCTGTGCAGGCCGCCATTGACAGGTACATGGTGCGCTACACCTCGGCTGATGGAGAGACCAGGGAGGTTCCTGTGGGAAAGGAGCAGAGCAGCACCGTCCTGACGGGCCTGCGGCCGGGCATGGAATACACGGTCTACGTGTGGGCCGAGAAGGGGGCCCGCGAGAGCAAGAAGGCCGACACCAAGGCCCCGACAGGTAACAGGAGGGAACTGGTCAATTGGAATTGACTTTTGAGCGTGTGGATTTGAGTGTGCATGATACCAAAGGATGTGGCCTGAGCAGAGAGACTTTGCAATTAGAAGTCTTAAAGATCAAAGAAAGACAGTGAGTGAGCTCCTGTGCTGTTCTCAGTGGGCTGCCGTCCCTGACAGTGACGAGCTGTTCATGAAGCCACTGGGCTACTAGAAAGGAGAAGTAAAGTTGTGTTGTTGCAATGTTTGTAGCAGAATCCCTGAAGACGTGTATAAGAGGATCCGGTCATTGCGATGCTGGTGGTGATTCTTTTAGAGTTCTCGCCAGTGAAGTAGCCCTTGATAAGATGACAACTTAGGTACCTGAATGTCAATGGCAGATACTTAATGGGCGGTCTTGATGTGCCATATGCTGCTAAGGAGACCTTGTTCCTCCCACATATCAGGGAGCTGAAAGCCAAGAAAGAGTACGAAACTTATAATGATTCCTCCCTTGAAACTGTGAGTCAGGGGTTACTTTCTCCCTTGACTCCCACCAGAGGCTCAGGATGGGAATGTGCTCGCCTTGTGCTAAGAGAGTTCTGGAAGATGAAAGTCATGATGATGGGCTGTGGAAATGTCTCCCATGGCTTCAGAGCTTATGCTTTTCCAAACATTTTCCTTTCAGACATTGACAGCCCCCAAAACCTGGTGACTGACCGGGTGACAGAGAATACGGCCACCGTCTCCTGGGACCCTGTGCAGGCCGCCATTGACAGATACGTGGTGCGCTACACCTCGGCCGATGGAGAGACCAGGGAGGTTCCTGTGGGGAAGGAGCAGAGCAGCACCGTCCTGACGGGCCTGAGGCCGGGCGTGGAGTACACGGTCTACGTGTGGGCCGAGAAGGGGGCCCGCGAGAGCAGGAAGGCCGACACCAAGGCCCCGACAGGTAGTGGAGCATCATTATCACTGCATCGTTGCTAAGCTTATGGTCTGTCTATGTGGGTTTTCCTTCTCTGACCTGGACAGAAGAGGAGGTTTTATGGAAGAGCAGGTTGATACCTCTCCAAAATATATTGTGTACCCCTCACTTCCTTGAATTGCTTCTCTTAAATGCACATCTTGTTTTGTGGTCTCCAAACTTTGCCCTTTTAAGGTCAATGGTCATCGCCTGCCGTCCTTCCTTCTGCCGTCCGTGCACCTTCTTTGTTCCCACATAAAACGCTTCACCTTGAGAAGGAATAAATTTCAAGAAAGCACAAGTGACTGCCAAGCTCAGGGAACCAGACTTGCAGATTGTGATCCAAAAGCACTTTTTAATTTTAACTCCTCACCTGTTTAAACCCCTGCTCTGCTTGTTTTTATTTCTGCCTTTTGGATGAACGTTTGCAGCAGAAATAATAACAGCATTTTATTAGCTAAAAACAAGCAAATATCTAGTCACTTTTAGCCTGCAAAATGTATCATTTTAGCAATTAAAATGTCCATTTCCATGAAATAGCCCATACTTCATTTACAGTTACAACTTCTCCTCTCTATTGGCCTGGGCCTCCTGTGGGCTAACCGCCTGCTGTAGGAAGCTTCTCTTGTATTTCCCTCCTTGTAACTCAAGCACTGTCTTTCCAGCTTGATATCTGCAGTTTCTGACCCATCTGTGTTTGGCTGGAAGAGGTACGCTGAGAAGAGGCCAGGGGTCAGGAGGCGGAGAGGCCGGGGTCACGGAGGTCTTGTTTGACTGTAACAGTCAGGACTAGGACTGGCTTGGGCCTGTCATGGGGCCTGATGAGTGTTAAAGCTGCCTCTTTCTCTCAAGGAGTACTTATGTGCTCCTCTTCCACTGGGGGTCTCTCACTGTGGTGTCCTGTGGGCAAATGCTTGTCTCCTCCAGGTCCGTTGCTCCCCTTCCTCTGCCCACACATCAGGAGGTACATGCCAGTGCGTCTCTGGTGGGGCTGCCTTGCCCCCATAGGCAGTCCTCCTGGACAACTTCCAACACAGCCGTAGGCGGGCCCTCCTTTGCTTGGCCCACATCTGGTCCACGGGGAACACACACGCATCCCCTGTCCACTCAACTGGTTGTGCAGGTCCTTTGCAGTGCTGCATCCTCTCTCTGCTCTGCAGCAGAGCAACCAGCCATTCTCTCACCTCTTAGATATTTTAGGTCTGTGTCAGACACCAGCCCGAGGTGTTCCCCAAGATTTGGGCAGGGTTCCTCCACCTTGGCACTAATGATATTTAGGGCTGGATAATTCTTTGTTGCAGAGGTCTGTCTTGTGTATTGTAGGATGTTTAGCTGCGTCCTGGGAGTCCACCTATTAGATGTGAGGAATCTTCCTATTCCACACTGAGTTGTGACAACCAGAAATGTCTCTAGACATTGCTACTTGCTTCCAGTTGAGAACTACTGCTCTAGGGTATACATAGCAAGCTCTGTAAGGGATTCCATTGAGACTGTCTATTCAAGTTTTGGGTCTCAACATGGGACTCACAGTGTAACTGTTTCCAAATAAATTCATTCTTTATGTCCTACCTCACTGGCCTCACTGACCTCTTAATCTTGCCTTGGTTTGGGGCCCTCAGGTTGGAATATAGATACCAATTTTCTTGGGGTCACAGCCTAAACCATAAGACTAGTCCCGCTTTAACATACCATCACACATGTGCTAGTACCTATAAGCAAGTGGTTTTGGGAAAATGGCTTTTGCAATAAATTATTTAGAACAAAGAAATGCTACTATTTTATTGGGGAATACAGTTTTGAATACCTTCTGTGTGTGTAGTATGGAGGAGTATTATCTCTTATTTATGAAGTATCAACAAACTGATATCAGTAATAATACTAGCTTATGATTATTGGGCATCTGTTTGGGGCTAAAACTGTAATAAGCGACATGTTATTAACTCATATAATACTCACAACAACTCTATGGGATAGGCACTACTATTACTCCCACCCCAGCCTCCTCCTTTTTTCCTGTGGAGGCAGAGGGTCTGATTTGCCTTTGATTACATTTTGAATTATGGAGTGAATATTCTGTGGCTTCAGAGCTGTAATCACTGTAGAACTTTAATGTTTTTAAAGCCCTTTTTCTATATGACGTTTTTTGTTTTGGTTTACAGGGCTACCCAAAGAGAGATGTACAATAACTACTAACAACCCCATTTCACAAATACAAAAGTAAAGTGAAGCACTTTGCCCAAGGTCACAAAACAAGTTAGTAATTTATGAAATTAGATGCATGCATGGAATATTAGTGTTTAGGGGAAGCTAAAGTCCATCCAACCTGAACCTCAGATTTTGTAGATGAAAAAGCTGAGACCCAGCCAGAAGCAGCTGAGTTGTCAAGGGCCACGGCTGGCTGATGGCAGAGCTGAGACTAGATTCCTGGTCTGCTGGCTCCACCCCAGGGCCTTCCTGGCCCTCTGCTCTGCCTCTCTGAGCTGTGACTAGAACCCAGCTCTTCTGACTCTGAGTCTGGTGCTCATTCCACTCTGCTGTTTGTCTCCTTGAGGATTCAAGAATCCAGCTGTAGAGACAAGGTCTCTGTCCATGAAACAATTAAAAACCAACACATGATATGGGAAAACCATAAGAACAGGAAACTGTCTCAGCCCAGGAAAAATGGCCTCACTCTTTGTTGCCTGTTCATAGTGTTTATTAACCAGCATTTTCCTTTCAGACATTGACAGCCCCCAAAACCTGGTGACCGATCAGGTGACAGAGAATACGGCCACTGTCTCCTGGGAACCAGTGCAGGCCGCCATTGACAGATACATGGTGCGCTACACCTCTGCCGATGGAGAGACCAGGGAAGTTCCTGTGGGAAAGGAACAGAGCAGCACCGTCCTGACGGGCCTGAGGCCAGGTGTGGAGTACACGGTCTACGTGTGGGCCGAGAAGGGGGCCCGCGAGAGCAAGAAGGCCGACACCAAGGCCCCGACAGGTAACAGAGCATTGTTCTTTGGGAATGCAAGACCTGTCATGCTAAGCCTTTGGGTGGTCAAGTTTTGTCTCCTTCTCTTACACTGGCAGAAATCAGTGATTTATAGAAGAGCAGGATAGTAGACCTTCGTCATTCTACTCACACCATCCCTCACTACCCTTTAACACATTATCTCAGAATAAGGACCTCATATCAGCCTCACACTTTGGTCTGGCAAAGATTGATGGTGAGTGGTCACATCCATCCACTGTTTCTCCAACTGTGTATTACTTTTGTGATTAATCATTCAATATTTCTTCTTGAAAGGGACAATATAAAGAAGCCATAAATGTTAGGATCTATGAGCTAACTAATTTAGGGAAAAGACTTTTGCTGAAATCTCATTGGAGCAAGAAAAGGTTATTGCTTTCTTAGTGAACAAATCCTCTTTTGAGTACTGTGCACTCTGTCCTGAGGATCTTAAATTGCAGTTATATATATAATAACTGTTCATAATTTTATTCTATTTCATTTATTTTTTGTGGCTGTTCAGTATGGGGATCCAAACCCTTGACCTGGGTGTTAGAACACCACACTGTAACCAATTGACCTAACCATCCAGCCCGACATTTCATAATTTTAAAGCTTTTTCATCTCTGTTTTCTCGTTTTTTAAGAACTGCCTTATTGAGATATATTTACATACTATAAAATTTACCCTTTTGTGAGACTGACACACTGCCTGCTGAGCCAAGAGGGCCTCTGAACAAATTTACCCTTTTAGAGTGCACAATTAAATGGTTTTCAGTATATTCACAGAATTGGGCAACCCTCACCATTATCTAATTCAGAACATTTTTATCACCAGAAAGAAGCCCCATACCCATTGCCAGTCACTCCCTATCCCCACTCCCTCCAGCCCTAAAATAACCACTACTTTCTGTCTCTATAGATGTCCTGTTCTAGACATTTCATATAAATGGATTCCTATGATATGTGTCCTTTTGTGACTGGCTCCTTTCACTAATATAATATTTTCCAGGTCATCCATGTGTAGCATGTATCAATACTGCATTCTACTGTGAGATAGTATTCCCTTGTATGGATGTATTACGTTTTGTTTGTCCATTTGTCAGTTGATGGACATTGGTGTTGTTTCTACTTTTTGGCTACTGTGAAGAATGATGCTATGAGCATTCGTGTAAAAGTTTCTCTGTGGACATATGTCTTCATTTCTCTTAGGTATATGCCTAGAAGTGGAATTATTGAGTCATATAATGGCTTTTGTTTTTAACTTTTTGAGGAACTGCCCAATGGCTTTCCAAAGTGATTTCAGTATTTTACATTCCCACCAACTATAAATGAGAGTTATTTTCCTCATTTACTTGGTTCTCAAAGTAATTTGTTGAGCTGCACAGAGCAGGAATCAATGTCTCCATTTTACAGTAGAGAAACCTCCAATACAGAGGGGTGCATGATTTCTACAAGGCACAAAGTTAGCTGATGATTCATGGAGTTAGATCCATGGACTATTCATGGAATATAATGATACCTTATTTATTTATAAAGTTAGCTGATGATTCATGGAGTTAGATCCATGGACTATTCATGGAATATAATGATACCTAATTTATTTATTTTTTTATAAAGATGACTGGTAAGGGGATCTCAACCCTTGGCTTGGTGTTGTCAGCAACATGCTCAGCCAGTGAGCCAACCAGCCATCCCTATATAGGATCCAAACCTGTGGCCTTGGTGTTATCAGCACTGCACTCTACCGAGTGAGCCATGGGCCGGCCCTATAATGATACCTTAAAATCTGTTTAGTCTAAGGCCAACATTTTACAAATGAGGAAACTGAGGCAGGGGCAAATGAGATGTCCAGGGCCACAGCTGGCTGATGGCAGAGCTGAGACTAGATTCCCGGTCTGCTGGCTCCATCCCAGGGCCTTCCTGGCCCTCTGCTCTGCCTCTCTGAGCTGTGACTAGAAGCCAGCTCTTCTGACTCTGAGTCTGGTGCTTATTCCACTCTCCTGTTTGTATCCTTGAGGATTCAAGAATCCAGCTGTGGAGACAAGATCTCTGTCCATGAAACAATTAAAAACCAACACATGATATGGGAAAACCATAAGAACAGGAAACTGTCTCAGCCCAGGAAAAATGGCCTCACTCTTTGTTGCCTGTTCATAGTGTATATTAACCAGCATTTTCCTTTCAGACATTGACAGCCCCCAAAACCTGGTGACTGACCGGGTGACAGAGAATACGGCCTCTGTCTCCTGGGACCCGGTGCAGGCCGCCATTGACAGATACATGGTGCGCTACACCTCTGCCGATGGAGAGACCAAGGAGGTTCCTGTGGGAAAGGAACAGAGCAGCACCGTCCTGACAGGCCTGAGGCCAGGTGTGGAGTACACGGTCTACGTGTGGGCTGAGAAGGGGGCCCGCGAGAGCAGGCTACACCTCTGCCGATGGAGAGACCAAGGAGGTTCCTGTGGGAAAGGAACAGAGCAGCACCATCCTGACAGGCCTGAGGCCAGGTGTGGAGTACACGGTCTACGTGTGGGCCGAGAAGGGGGCCCGCGAGAGCAGGAAGGCTGACACCAAGGCCCCGACAGGTAACAGAGCATTGTTCTTTGGGAATGCAAGACCTGTCATGC